TGTCATAGCATAGTTTTGGTTGAAACTAATCTGGACATCTTTACCCCGAGCTGCTGCTCAGCTCAGGGCCAGCTCCCAGGTCAGACCAGGTTGTGCAGGACCTCATCCAGCCAAGTGTTGCAAATCTCCAGGAACGGAGCTTCCCCAGCCCCTCTGGGCACCTGCCCTGTGCTCACACTGCCAAAAACTGAACCAGGGGTACTGACACAGCACGTGCCCACCAGATTCCCACACCTGTTTCAAAACAACAGAGCCTGGTAGCACAGACAAGCTGTTGGCCTCTTTTGCTCCACTTTCCATCTGAAAGGAGAGAGGGAAGCGTTCAGGACATTTTACCTTCCAGACACCTTGGAACCATCAGCAGGTTCATGCAAAAAAAAGGATTATTTATGAACTTGACCGGAGTTGTCCCAAACCCAGGCTCCCTGCAGCCCGGCATTTATCCGTCCTACAAGGATAAATGCAGCACACAAGGATGCCATGATAAATGCAAGCAGTTTTCTACTGAGTCATCACGTCCTGCAACAGCTGGCGAACACAAAAGGTGTGAGCAAAAATTGCAGCGAGCACTGCAAGAGAGTTAAGAAAATCTCCAGCTCCGTCTGCGGTCTGAACAGCAATGGAGACAATTATTAATTAATCATGCTCTTTGGGGACAACAAACCAGTATAAGGACTAATTAAAAGAACATACAGTGGAGGGCAAAAGTTTATTTATACCAAGTAACAGCCCTGCTACTTTTTCTCCCTTCCACAGGCCCAATGGGAAGGATTAACGGGACGCATTGTCTTTAATAAGACGAGTGGTTTGCGGACAGATTTTGATTTGGATATCATCAGCCTCAAAGAAGATGGTCTCGAAAAGGTAGGCAGGGTTTGTCTTATCTGCATATGGCTTGGTCTACTCAGGCAACAGAGAAAAAGCAATGAAAATTGCCTAATGCCTGGCAATGGCAGCAGCTTATCACAGCCCAGATTTTGCAGAAGGATGCAGTGTGTATTTTTGTTTATTTCTTCTCTGTGTTATCTAAGGGACAATAAGAAAAAAAGCCAAGTGTGGTTTTGCCTGGCTGGCTGGAGGGGTCTCGTTCGGTGGCCGTGGCTGCCCGGTGACCCGGAGACAACATCGCACGACGGCAGCAGCCTCAGACCCTCCTCATTAGTGCAGATCTCTGGGCACAGGAACACGATGCTGATGTGCAAATCTGATTCGCAGGTGTTCATGGGATTTCATTTCCTTTTCTTCAATTTCTTTTTTTTCTAAGAAAAGGCAATATGCAAAGCATTAAAGCTTCTAGAACACGGGTTTCAAGGTGAGATCAGTTTGTTTCAGGCAAAAGCGTGGCCTAAGTGAAGAAAGCACTGCGCCGACAGCGATGCCAGCAGCGAGCGGTGCCCGGGGCTGTGCTCCCATCAGCCTCCAAATAACGGCCCGGGAGGCCACCGCGGGCTCCCGGCGCCCGACCCCTTTGGTGGGTGATTCCAAGTCCCCGTTCCGCTGAAGGTGTCCCGCAGATTTCCCGGAGAAGGTTGGCTGCTGGGCAGCAAATCCCCCTGCAGAGCCGAGGCTGCTCTCGGACACGCACGAGGTGCCTTCTGGCAGCCGGCACTGAGCCCCGTAACCTTTGGGCACGGAGACAGGTCCTGCTGCCGCGGGAAATGCCAGCCCGGAGCAGGGAGGGCGTTTTCAATTAACCGTGCAGCAAGCGGCCAACGTGCACAGATGACTTTTCCAGTTAAGGCAGGGGAATTAATCAAACAGGGCAGGTAGGCAGTGCCCGCGGGCGGGAGGCAGCAGTTTGATCACCCCCCCCCTCCGTTTGGAGGGGACGGATCCTGCGCGGCGAAGCTCCCTGGGACCAATTTGACTTCTCCATCCCCCTTTTTTACAGTTTGTTTTTCCTTCGCTTTGAAATAAGTTGTTGCCACGCTTTCACACCACAGCAGTAGTTCTTTGCTGCATGTAAAAAATCTCAAGGTCACCACAGCACTCTCCTAGTGGGTATTTTTTGGTGTCAAATACAGAATAAAGAAAACATCTCAAATAAACCCAACGACCTTCAGTCCCGCTGCCATGAGCCGAGCCCGGGCAGGAGGCTGGAGGGGAGCAGGGGAAGATGCCACCTTCTCACTAGAACTGAGCAGGAGATGATCTCTGTAGCTGGGCTGTTTTATTTTTTTAACAAAGGATTTTGTTTATAGAGTCTAAACCAAAAAAAAACAACATGTTTTTTCATAGTACAGCAGCACCGACGGGCTGCCGGAGAGCTGTGCTGGTAGAATGGTAGAAAAATGTGCGAGTATTTGGATACCATGTGAATCGAAATGTTTAAGCCCAACCGCAGCATCTATCTGTCAAACTAAGACTCCCCAGGCGCGCTGGGAGCCGCGGCACCGGCGGTATTTATTGCTGCTGTGTGTCACGGACAGCCCACAGGAAGCACCAAACCTCGATGCACTCACTGCGCAGACATTCCGCTTTTGTCTCCAACAATTCAGAGATTTCACAGTTGCCACTATTATTTTTCTGAAAGCTTCTCATCAGCTCTAGAGAGGTTTTAAAGTATCGATGTCAAATCTCTGTTGAAGCTGGGTTTCTGTCAATAGTTAATCTGAAATAACAAAACGCCAAACTACAAACAAATCCCACACGGATTGTGCATTATGTATAATAGCTTATGTTTGTTGAGCTTTAGGATTGAACTCCTGATCCTTATACCTCCTGGATGTTCCAGGGATTACAGGAGTATTAACTAAACCTAATTACATGTAGTTTGACTATCTGACTTGCACAGTTCTCTTAATGCACTTTTTCCTTTTTCTTTCCTTTTTTAATATTTTAAACTGATTAATTCACTCTTAAGTGCCACGTATTCAATTTTCTTAAAGGAATCTTAGCAAGGCAGAGTTAACTGAGTCTGCAAAGCTGCTGGCAGGGGCCTCTTGGACTTGCTTCTCTTTTCTCATGCACAATAATAATCTTTTGACATTGCAGCTGTTGCAAGATCGAAGAGAGATACAGGGGATTGCTTAGGTTTTACCTGAAATATTTAGAGCCTTTCACAAAGTTCATGGAAACTCTTCTAGAATTTATGACTTTCTTTTGCCAGGCAGCATTGCTCATTACAAAGTCTCTTTTTGGGGATGCAGTAAAACCAAGTTCCCTCCTTGGACTGCTGAAGAGGTTGAAGAATCTTAAAAACAGCAATAAATAAAATATCGGCAGTTCCTGGCTCCCCAGCGGGTTTGAGCTGTCTGCCTTTGGTTTCTCTTCGAGTCCCACCTCCCAGTTTGACCCTACAGATGGATCGTTCTGTTCCCATTTCCATGTGGGGTTTTATTTTTTCTCGCTGTCAGGGTGGCTGTATGGCCGCCCGGCTCTGTCTGCCGGCAGCAATCCCATTTTCCTGCAGCTTTCCTGACACTTTATCTCACCGTCACAGCCCTTTAGCCAGTCCTGCCTTCAAAGTCCGTTCTAAAGCCTCCCCTGCACCGCGGAGATCAGGTTAACAGGCTTAGAGTTGCCCAGATGACTTCTTTTAAAGAGAGACATGTTTTGCTCTTTCTGGGTCAATAGACTTCTTCAAAGTCTAACAATTTACAAAAATTGACAGTTTGAGAGAAACAGAGCACCTCAAATTGATGAGGAACGTAGCTGCGTGTGCCTGTGCCTGTGCCCGTGCCCGAGCACGTCTGCTGCCCTCCCCACCTCCAGGTTTGCTACCAGGGCCAAGACCTCCCATCGCAGCGGACTTCCCTGAAGGGGTGACCAGGGCCCTTCCAAAGGGACCCGCGAGAAACATCCATCCAGTTTGCCACAGCGCAGAGGTCAGGAACGGTCCCTACCAGGGATTTGCAGAGCTGATCAAGCCATTTTGAATCTTCCCCACCAAAGCAAATTGGTGGAGAAATAAAAAAGAAAGAAAACAATCTCCTATTTGTGGATTCTTTGTTTTGTTCTGCTTTATCCTTGCCCAGAGTTGGCTCTTCAGCACGGTTTGATTGTTTGCTCTACGCAGTACCATTGCAAATTGTTCATTCAGCCCCCAAATTCCAATCATCATAATTTTCTTTCATGCACCTGCATCAGAGGGCAGCGCAGGGTTCCCTGTTACACATGTGCAGCTGGTGTCACCTGCAACCAAAGGGTTAATGGAAATTCTCTATTTAGGGGATAGATACAAGACAATAATTTCAGCTTTGTCTCTGTTCACTGTAGATGAGAGAAGCAAGCTCCATTTTCCAGGCCAGTACGATGCTGAGAGCAAGCGAGGAACGTAAGGCGGGTGTTCATGGCTTCGCTTGCTTTGTTTCAGGTTGGAGCGTGGAGCCCATCCGACGGTTTGAACATCACAGAAATTTCCAAAGGACGAGGGCCTAACGTCACCGACTCGCTGAGCAACAGATCCCTGATTGTCACCACTGTCCTGGTAGGAGACTACCACCTGTCTCTTTCCTCCGCCACAAACCTCAGGGATAGCTGATATCCCTGGAAATTCACAGCATCCCCATGCAGATCTGCCAGTCCCTCCGGAAAGCCGAGCAAGGGCATGGAGAGTCCCTGCGTGCAGGCTGGGCTCAGCGGGGCACCACGATGCTCGAGCACCTGCACCGCGGTGACTGCGGCATCCTCCGGTGCCGCCGCTCCCGAGCGGGCTGCCGGCCAACACGTGGCACACGGTGAGGCTGGCATGGGCCAGCTGGAACCTCGCATGTTCCCTGTGCCCAGGAGGCTGCTGCTGGTCCCAGCTGAGCCCCTCCGCTTCAGCTGCCCGCCCAGGTGCCCTGTCCCCCCTTGCTCCCTGCGTGCGGGAGGTTTGCACGTGCTGAGCTCCAGGAAAGCTCCACGTCACCCATTTACCACGGCCAGCCAGTGGCGGCACTGGCAGATGCCTGGCAATGCCAGCCTCAGACAGGAGCGTTCTTCTTACAGAAGAAAGTACTAAGACCAACCAGAGACCCTGGCTTAGCTGTGACAATCGCGTTTCTTTCTCCCTCTTAAGTACATATTTGATAAACCAGCTACGAGTAATGCCGTTATCCAGCAAACCACGGCTGCTTAACAGGTCTCCTCCGCTCCCAACTGTCACGCTGCATTTTGCTCTCGCATTCGCTATTGGGTTTGACGGCGGGCATCAGATCAGAATGAATTTTTATTTACTATCTAATGAATTATGACTGGTGGCATTGGTTTCTATATGGCTGTATTACACAGCGCAGGCTCATGGCATGTCACCAGGATGCAACGAAAAATCTCAGCCCTTGGACAGCCTCCCCGCAACTGGGCCTGAATTATGGCTTTGCCTATGGAAATTTTCTGCCCCTTCTGTGTTCCATATTTTCCAGGGGCAGAAAGGCACGGACGGTACAGAGCTGTCAGCGGGGGGACGCAGTGCGATCCCTCGTGATGTCCTTGCCTTCCCAAAAGGACGTGAGCTGACAGGGTGGGGGTCTGTAGCACAGAAGGAACGGGACCACGAAAGGGCCCAGAGGAGAACAGAGAAAGGAGACCCTTGGTCCCGGGCAGAAAGACTGGAACCAAAAGTCTCGTATCACTCAGGACGAGGTTAGCAGAACGGAGGCCGGCAGAATGTGAACCAAAACAAACGCTGCTGCAGCTTTCCTTGCAAATTAGCCACCCCTTCTAAGGAACTTCCCATTCCTCACGTAACATCACTTCCAACAAAACGTTTGCATTAGAGTCCCTCTCTGCAGGTGTAACGTACAGGCTTAGCTCATCGATTACGCTCAGTAACACGCTGCTTTTGTGTCTCAACGCTCAGGGGAGAGTGGAAAAGTTCATTCCCTTCCCATCCAGAAGTTTTGTACCATGGCAACCCCATGAGACCATGATGGGTGGTACATACGGGGCAGCCCACACTGCCCCTGTGCCATGTGCGGTGGCAGAACCGGCGGCAGCAACAGCTCCCCACTGACTGCGGTTACTGAAACGAGTCGTCACATCAGGAGTCACTGCAGAAGCAGCAGAGAAATGACAGAGCAAAAGGCACTTTAACAATTCAATATAGTCAGATTGTGAGACTGCTTCTGCTGAGACCCGTGCAGCAGCGTGCGTGCACTCGGGCACGATACGCACACAGTTCACTTTTTTTTTCTTTTGCATTTGAGCATTCTTGGTGTGTTCAGGAAGCAGAAGTTTAGGCGGTGTTCATCTACGAGGCCAAATGGAGAGACCTGCCGTGATAGGTTTAGTTCATTTTAGCACAGCAACCTAAAGTGCTGCCACTACCTGTACACGGACGACACAAATTTTTAGGGCAACACAAATAACACATCACGTCAAGTCACTCCCAGGTGGAGGCTCAGGACCAGCTCTAAGGGAATCATTCAACCCACGCTGCAGCTGGATAACACTCACTAGAAGTCGTGTAATGACTCCTTTTCCCCGTTCCCTTTAATCAGAACTGTGCGCAGCACTTTCGGGATGATTCCTGGGGTGGGACAGCTGGTAGCACTGGGGCGACAGTTTGAGAGACGGCAGCAGAGCTGCTCCGCTGCGGGGTGAAGCCGGAGGACAGCAGCTCAGGACTGGAATATCCGTGAGAGCTGTACAGACAGGACTGAGGGAGAACAGAAAAGATGCATCTTGTCAGGGGTAAGACGTGTAGCCAGAGTCGTAGGAACGTCTGGGTCTAGGGTGCGATAATCACTGCACCTCAAAGGCCACGGCATAACGCAAAATGATGGAGCCAAGAGGAGACCTGTCAGCTATCTGCCTTGGACGTGCTTTTTTTGGGGAGCGTTTTCAGCTTGTACTCCGTGAGCATGTACAAACTGCAGAATGCACAAGGGTGATATCAGCTCCTATTAATTGTGCCATTCCTTGGGCCTGCATGCATGCCACGGGGCGTCTACCTCGAAACCACAGCTATCCTGCAACTCCCTTGCCTACAGGAGGAGGGAATGTGCTTAGATGTGAGTTTTGCAATAATTGCATTTTTATGTACTGGATTCTAAAAAAGAAAATACAACCCTAAACTCTATTTGCATTTGCAACACCTCTTCGTACTTTTGCACCGGTGTAAATGATTGCAGAAAAGCCATTGGAGGAGCCTTTAAAAGGAAAAGCATGAAAGGTTATTTTTTCCCCTTTTGCTCATATTGCAGTGACTTGTTGGAAGAGAAATATTACCCCAGCAGCCAGCTCCACTCTCCCCAAGCAATATGGAACTGTGAAGTTATGAAATTGAGGGCACCTTCACTGAGAAATCGATTAGCAAACCGAGAGAGCTTGTGAATTGGATGTCTGGCCATTTTCAGTAATAAATTGTGAAATAGTCCGTGAATAAGTGGTTCACAGAGTTCAGAATTACCCCCTAGGAAATGTTTGAGACCTGGAGATACATTACTGAAGCGAGCGGCGGCCTAATGTTCAGCGCTTCGGCTGTTAAATATGTATGTAATCCCTACAGCGCTTCCCAAAATTAATAGTGCTTTATGGCTGCTCGGGAGCCCCTGTATTTATATCGAGATCCATGGATTCAGCTGATTCACAAACAAAGCGCCAATTCCGGAGAAGAAAGCCGAGGAGGCGGCCAGGGAGAGCAGGATTTAACGGAGCTGCGCGTGCCGAGCTGAACCCCGTAGGTGTTTAAGCTCCGGGCTGGCACAGCCCTGCTCGGGGTGCCCAACCCCACGTCGCACCCCCGGGGCAGCGCGCCTGCGCTCCGCCAAACCGGGCAGCTCGGGAAGACTCAAATTCTTGGTAAAATCAGGACTACAGACCTTCCCTCCCGTGACTCCGAGCCCCCATTCCGTGGGATACTGTGGGGGCTCCAGCACGGCAGCTGGCTCGCCA